CTTCATGGAAAAGGGCCAGTTGAATGTTCAGCTGGTCCTTGGTACCCTGTCATTCACAGATCACCTCTGCCTCAGTTTCCCCAAGTGAAGAATGGGTTCCAGATGAACCCTGAGCACTCCTTAGTAGCAGAATGAGCTTGTCTGCCCAGGGGAAGCTTCAGACTGCCCCCAGTGCTCAGGGCCTCACTGAGGTGGGAGGAGGGACATGGTGGGACGACCACTCTGTGCAAACACCCTAGGTCAGAGCTGTGTGGAGATATGCAATAGGTTCATGTGGCCAAGTGTGAACTTCCAGAAGAAGAAACTCCCATGATGGAGGGCAGCAGAGCAGAGGACTGGACTGGTGGAGAGCATGATGGGGAGACATGGCCCATTGCAAAGCTCCAAGCCCCTCTTCCTTGGGCAGCTGGGAGAAGGAAGTGTTTGAGTGACTGTCTTGGTCGGGTTGGGAGTTCATGCAGGCAAGGGAGGAATATCATAGCCATTGTTTGGATGTTAGTTATAGACATTGTTGTGAGTCATGTCTTATCCAGAGCTCAAAAGAATGTCGAGAGGATAAAGGCTCCTGGTGCCCAGAGACAGGTGGATGATGGACACACAGTATGTATGGTCCATTCATGCACGGAATATTACATAGCCAGGAACAGGAGTGAGGCCCCCCCAATACATACTACAGTATGGGAAGGGATGTGAGGACACTGTGCTTGGTGAGAGACAGTGTGTGAAAATGCCCAAATAGGCCAATGCGGAGTTGAGAAGTAGGTACATGGGTATCAGGGGCTGTAGAAGGAATAGGGCATTTCCTTTTGTGTGGTAGAATGTTCTGGAAGTAGATAGAGGTATGTGATTATATGTGAGCTCACATTAAATGCATAATGTTGTCCCCCCAAAAGGCAGGCAGGCATTTAGAGAGAGAGAGAGAGAGAGAGAGAGAGAGAGAGAGAGAGAGAGTGTTCATTCCTTGGGTGGTCCCCAGAGTCAGAAGAGGGCATCACGTCTCTTGGAACTGGAGTTAACAGATGAACCTCCACATGGCTGCTGGGAACTGAACCCCAGGTCCCTCTGGAAAAGCAGCCAGTGCTCTTAACCCCTGAGCCATCTCTCTAGGCGGTTTGCTTTTTTTGAGACAGGGTTTCTCGGTGGCTCTGGAGGCTGGTCCTGGAACTCAAAGATCCACCTGCCTCTTTCTCCCGGGTGCTGGAATTAAAGGTGTGCCCCACCACACCTACTCAAAGCCATTTTAAAAACTCCACACAGTTGGTTTCGTCCATTCATTCCTGACAAGTGGACAGAGGCTCCCAGATAGCTTTGCTGGGTTGTCCCCTCACCTGGGGGGTAGGGGTGCTGACTCAAATCTAATCCACATTCTCTGATCACTAAAGAGGAAAACAGCTTGAGTTCCCACAGCAGGCACCAATGTGCCTTTCAAAAGCCCTCCCAGCTGAGCAGTTGGTGTAGCTGCCACCTGTGGTCCCAGCACAATGGGGGACAGATGAGTCAGGATTGCTTCAGGTGAGGCTAGCCTGGGCTCATGGGCCCCTATCCAAAAAAAGAAAAAGGAAAAGAAAACCCAAAACTGTCCCATCAGCCAGGCAAGTACCTATCACAGGGCCCAGGGTGTCAAACCCAGTCTCTCTGTCTTCTGCTGTACCCAAACTGGGTGACTTCAGGGAGTGTCCATGCCGGGGCTGAGACCAGGCCAGGCCCAGGCTCCATGTGCCTGGGGTCCACCCTGCCTGGCACCAGTCCCAGGTGGGGCCATGTGAACTTTGGAGCCCTGGGGAGCCAGCAGGGGGCCTGGGCTGTCACAGTCTGGGGGACAAAGGTTTTCTCAGGGGCCTCCCACACATGTACACACACTCAGAGCACTTTTTTTTTTTTTTTTTTTTTTTTTTTTTTACGACCGGGGACAGCCAGGGCCCCTCAGCTCTGAGGACACCGCCCTGGGCCCTTGTGGGAACAGCCCTGGCTGCCCAGGTGTGGTCAGAACAGAAACCTACAGATGGTATGTTATCATGGGCATCTGGGTCCCAGGGCCAGCCAGGTGACTGTGGTGACCACTCAGGCCTGGCACCCTAGCTCTCGGGAAGAAGCAAGAGGCTTGCCAGGAGTTCCAGGTTAGACCTTGCCTCAAAAAAGCCAGAGGACCGTTTGCGAACAATTCACCAACAAAAGACAGTCAAAAGGTTTCTGTAAAGGAAAAAGCAAGAGCGGGCGGGGCATTGGTGGCACACACCTTAATCCCAGCACTCAGGAGGCAGACACAGGCCGGTCTCTGAGTTTGAGGCCAGGCTGGTCTACAGAGGGAGTTCCAGGATGGCCAGGGCTACAACAGAGAAACCCTTTATCAAAAAACCCCCCAAACAAAAGGTCTTCCTGATGAGATCAGGGGAGGTTGGGTAGTGTGAGCCAGGGTTGTAGAGCAGGAGACACATTCACACCCTGAGAAAGAACTCTTGGATGGCTGCAAAGCGGAGGTGCGAAAGGGCAGTCAGTGTGTGCTTAGTGTCTGTCTGCTATATGCCTGAAGCCAGTTTGCAGTGAAGCAGAGTGGCTGTGGGGAGTCAGGACACCTACTGCAAGGGCTAAGAGAGCATGCATAGTCAGTGAGCATTTATTAGACAACTGCTGTGTACTCTGTTCAGACGAGAAATGGGGGCTGGGGCACTGTCCCAGGGTGGGATGTACAGCTCCCAGAAGAGCCAGAAGAACGGCATCTCCGTAAAGCCAGGCTTTTACTGCCTCTCTCTGTTGTTGACCCTTCCCCCATAGGCAGCTGGGGGATCCCCGTGGGTCCCCGTTTATGGCTTTGAATTGATGTGTTGTCCCTGCAGATGTCCAGCCAGGCCCTGCTACCACCTGACCGGTTGGTCCCTCAGCATCTCCTGTTAGAATGGGCATCTATGGTGCCCTTCCCAAGTGAGGCAGCCGCTCACCACGCTGAGCCTGGGTTCCCTGGAGGCACCAATGCTGAAGCACAGGGTGGAACTGTTGTTTGGGGGTGGCAGTTGTTTTGTTTTGAGACCTGGTCTCATGTAGCCCAGACTGGCTTTGAACTCCTAACCCTCCTACCTCCACCTCCTGAATGCTGGCATGACAGCTGTGCCTGTTGTTCTTTTGTTACAGTTATAGGATAAAGATGGAGAAGTGGGGGTTGCCCCACATGGGGGTCCCAAGGTAAGGGACCACATGGGAGAGCAGAGAGGTTCCATAGCAGGTGAGGGTGACCAAGGCGCAGGGAATAATACGCCAGGCAGATAGAGCTTGAGTGAGAAGTTTATTTAGAAGGGGAAGGGAAAACAGACATAGAGACACCTGGAAGAGAAGAGGAGAGAGGAGAGCCAGAGGTGAGGAGAAGAGCAAGAGCAAAAGAGAGCGCAAGTGGGCGGGGCCCACTTTTAAAGGGTCCTTTACACCTGCTCCTGCAGACTAGTACTCGTGGAACCCTGGGCTGACCAGAGTACTGCCTGAGTGCACTCTGCCAGGTGACGGGCAGGCCAGCATAATGCCTGAATCCTTACAGTGCCCTACAAAGATGCCTGGTTTATGGGGTGTTGGGGGTGGAACCCACAGCCTCATGAGTGTTGGGCGGTCACTCCACCCTCTCAGCCACCAATTGGCTGCACTTTTGTCTTGTGTTTTCCAGTGAAGCTGGGGAAGCTGAGGAAAGAGGCTATAATGGTGTCTTGTGGAGGGGGGTGAGCCCAGAAGAGTGGATCCTGGAGACTATTCCTTGTCCAGGAAAGAGGGTTCATGCAGGGTCTTGCACGGGGCCCTCACGCCCTCCTGGGGTGGATCCTTCATGCCTCTCCAGTGTTGGGGGTTCTGGCCACACCCCTGGTCACAGGGCTGCCCATCATTTGCCTATCCACGTCCTGCCTTGCCCTGCCTGCCCAGGTAGCCACTTAAGGAAATCAAATTGCAGTGCGAAGCATCTGTTAAGTGATTGCTGGGTACTGGGCAAACACCCATGGATGCATGCACACTCTCCAGGGCCGTGTGCTTCCCACCAGTGAAGGCAGAACCCCCTTGGGAAAGTGTGGAGCACTCCAGCTGATTCTGGGTGCTTGTGTGTAGCACCCAGAGGCCCTATGGAGGGCGGCCTGGCTACCTGCAAGGCTCCATACCCCTCAGGCAGCCTGGAGAGGGAGAGCAGGCCTCCCTGGACTTAGGAATGTGGGCCGGCCAGTCTGGCGCTGGCTGGCCTGGGGTGGGGCGCAGACAAAGCCAGGCAGCCGGGCAGCTCACAGCCAAGGCCACCTTGGGCAGAGGCCTGGACTCTTGACTAGGAAGGTCGCCCACCCTGTCCATGGTTTCTTATCCGTTGAACAGATGGAGAAACTGAGTCCTGTGGGAGGGTTGTTGTTGGAAGGATGGTCTGGGGATGGCCCCAACTGCCCACTTTGAGGCCCCCACCAAGCTTTTGGAGACTAAATGATGGATTATGCAGACCCAGGTATAATTGGTGGTTTCAAGGCCCCCCACAGTCCTGCCAGCTGCATTCCTGGTGGTTAATTTGAAGCCTGGTGTTCAGCTGAGCATTCTAATTATCTCCAGCACCCCCTGCTGGGTCAGTGTTTCCCTCTTCCCCCTTCCCCCCCACAGCTGGGTCAGTGTGTCCCCCACACACAGCTGGGTCAGTGTGTCCCCGGACCCTGTCCTGTGACAGCAATTCTGGTGTTAGCACCACAGCCTGGGTGGGCAGAGGGTCAATCTACCTAAAAGGTAGGACCCCAAGACTGTCAGTGTTACTGTGCCTCCGTTTCCTTGTGGGATAATGCCCAGAGCCCCTAATGCTGGGAGAGGTGGAAAGGACACTTCCTAGGGCTTTGGGGACCTGAGACTGAGAACTTCTGTCTCCCTTCTGAGTCCCCTGGTCAGGGCATTGGTTAATGACCTCTGCATGCGGTGAAGGAGGTCAGCATTGTCTGCATCTTGAGGTGTATGGGGCTGGCTGAGTTCCTTCTGCTTCTTACCCCCCCACCCTACTCTGTCTGCAGCTCTATGAACTGGACGCAGACCCCAAGAGGAAAGAGTTCCTGGATGATCTGTTCAGCTTTATGCAGAAGCGTGGTGAGCATCTCGAACGGCAGGGGGGTAGGGGCTCCCCAAAGTGCTCCCCAAAGTCTGACTGTCCTTAGCTCCAGATAGACAGGAACCCTGAGGGACTCATTCTCCTCCTAGGTTGGGAACAGCTGGGTTGTTACAATCCAGCAAAGAAACTGAGGCCCAAGGAGGGTGGAGGCTTCAGCTACGTAGCAGGAAGGGGCAGAGGGGACCGAGGCCAGCCCAGGCCATCTCTGGGGCCTAGCTTCTGTAAACACAAGCCTCCAGACCTGCCCACCGGAAGGCAGAGCTGGAGAAGGGGGTACTGTGGCCTCCTGATCCCAGCCCAGCCCAGCTGCCTCTTGAGTTAACCCCTCCATGCCGGGGTGGGGCCTGCTGGTCCCTGTGGGTGTGGGAATGCCCCTGTGCTATCCGCAGAGCCCAGCCACCTTCCGTGTGGCCAGAGAGATCTCCTGTCCCTCTGTTATCATCAACCCCCACCTGCCAGGGTCCAGCACAAAGCAGGAGGCCTCCAGCTGCCTGGAGGCCACATAGCTGGCCATCCTATTCACCACCCCCACCAAAATGGGGTCAGCAAGGCCAGGGACCCGAAGCTGTAGCAGCCACAGACCACAAAGGGCTGTGAAAGTCCACATTTAACCCTAACTCCCTAACCAAGTCAAACTAATAAACTCCTGTGTATCCCTCAAAACCCCAGGTCTGCTTCTACCTTGGATACTTTCTTCTGAGGTTTTTGATGATTTGGAGTCAGTATTCACTGCCACCCTTGCCCAGTCAGCACAGCCTCCCATCCATGGGTTCCTTTTCTGGGAAGGACAGATGACTCCTGGCATCAAAAAGCAGAGGCTTTGGAACAAATTTTCCTCAGAAGTCTCTGCAGACGGGAAGTGTGTGGGGGTATCCTGCCTGCCCCCCTGCCAGGCTCCCCACCCTTCCTTCACCCCAGCCTCAGTCCTCCATCAGGCTCCTAGACTTCATATAAACTTCCTCCTCCAATGGCCAAGATTGTCCAGCCCACCTCCTGGTCTCCCTCTAGGGTTGAACTACGACCAAACAGGGTGGTGGGTTCAAGACCCATCTCCCCACAGCCGCCCTGGGCTCCACTTGACTCACAGGGAGTTTGTGCAACTTGGGAGAGGCAGGAAGTGGCTAAGACTAGGGAGAGGGTTTCCTGGTGCTGAGTTTCTAGGGCCATGGAGTCCCTGGGACAGGTGAGCTAGGCCCTGGAACCTCAGTTTCCCCATCAGTAAAGGGGGTGGCGGTGGCCTCTCCCATAAGACAGAGACGAGTGGTCACCGAGTCAGTGGCTGGGGTAGAGGCCTAGCATTCTCTGTTGAGTACTTGTTCTGCCAGGCTGGGTTGTGAGGATGAGGATGGCAGGAAGGGCCTCGGGAGCCTAGAACTTCACAGACATCACAGACAGGAGTTAGAGTTGGGGTGAGGCTAGGCTCTGAGGTGGGGACATAGGCAGAATCTCTGGAAGTCACCAGATGGTGGTGACACTTTTTTTTTTTTTTTTTTTTTTTGCTTTTTTTATTTAATATTTTTTCTTTTTACATATTGATCCCAGTTCCCTCTTTTTCCAATCCTCCCATGCTCCCCACCAACCTCCCCTTACCCCATCCCTCATCCACTCCCCAAGGAGGGTGAGGCCTTTCATGAGGGATCATCAAAAATCTGTCAATGGTAACACTTTTAATCCCAGTACTTGGAAGGTGAAGGCAGGCAGATTTGAGGACAGCCTGGTCTACATAGTAAGTTCCAGAATAGCCAGTGCTACACAAGAGAAACCCTGTCTCAAAAAACTAAAGAAAAAGAAAGAAAAAAGCTCTGGGAGTTCAGTTAGCGGAGGGTGCAGGGCCCTGTCTGTAGCAGGCTTAGGAAACAGACACTTGGAGGTAAGGCGCCGCTTAAACTGACAACCCTATTTGCGGAACCCTCCCCACCCCACTGGAGACTACCACACTCCTAGAGTGGGAGTAACCAGGGCCCTGAAGTCTACTGTGTGTCCCCAGGATGGCTGCCGACCATCTCTTCCAACCCCTTCTCTGCCCTGGTGTCTTGGGGAAACTGAGGCAAGCAGGGGCATCGCCTAGGGTGATGCCGCTCTGGAAGATGTTTGGAGAAGTGTGTGTGTGGCTGCCACACAGAAAGTCCTGGTGTGGAGTGGGGGAGAAAAGGGATGACACTCAGCACCCTGCAGGGCCCAGGACATGGTGCTGGAGCCCCTCCTGACCCCCATGACCCCTGCCTGACCTCAGCAGCTCCTCCCTGATGTTCCCCAGGCACACCAGTTAACCGGATCCCTATCATGGCTAAGCAAGTCCTAGACCTGTTCATGCTGTATGTGCTGGTGACAGAGAAGGGAGGCCTTGTGGAGGTCATCAACAAGAAACTGTGGCGGGAGATCACCAAGGGGCTCAACCTACCCACTTCCATCACCAGCGCTGCCTTCACGCTGCGGACACAGTGAGTACTGGGGCTGTACCACCAACTCAGATAGCCCGCCTCCCCCTGAGATAGCCGCCTCCTCCCCCTGAGATAGCCACCACCTCTCCCGAGATAGCCACCACCTACTCCTGAGATAGCCACCACCTCTCCCGAGATAGCCGCCTCCTCCCCCTGAGATAGCCACCACCTCTCCCGAGATAGCCGCCACCTCCCCCTGAGATAGTATGTCCCCTTCCTGAGCTTGTGGCAGGGTGATACTCCCTGGTTGTCTCAGGTGCCACCCTGTTCCCTGTCCACAGGTACATGAAGTATCTTTACCCCTATGAGTGTGAGCGACGAGGCTTGAGCAGCCCCAATGAGCTCCAGGCTGCCATAGACAGTAACCGCAGAGAGGGCCGGCGTCAGAGCTTCGGGGGTTCGCTTTTTACCTACTCACCCAGTGGAGCACACAACATGCTGTCCTCACCCAAGCTACCGGTGACTTCCCTGGGCCTTGCCGCCAGCACCAATGGCAGTTCCATCACTCCAGCACCCAAGATCAAGAAAGGTGACTCATGTGGGGGAATGAGGTTATCCTTTATTTGTTGTTGTTAGTTTTTCAAGACAGGTTTCTCTCTGCGTAGCTCTGGTTCTCCTGGAACTTGCTCTGCAGACCAGGCTGGCATCAAACTCAGAGATCCTCCTGCCTCTGCCTCCCATGTGCTGGGATTAAAGGCGTGTGCCATCACCACCCAATGAGGTTATCCTTTTATTTCTCTGGGTAACTGTTGTGATAAACCTAAGTTAGTGGAAAAGAATTCTCCTATCCACCCCTGTCTGTTACTGAGGCAGGCATTACTAGTCAATCCCTGGTCTCCAGTCCCCTGTCTACAGTATGATATGGTATCTGTCTTCTGCCTGCAGCAGATGTTACTAATTGAGCTATGGCTTTCACACTGGGTCCACATGAGGGCAGACATTATCAGTTGAGCACTCTACCTCTTTCTAAACCTGGCATTATTAATCAATTGTAGCATCAGTCTCTTGTGTATGGCAAACATTACTAAGTGGTCACTTCTGTTTTCTTCTGAGCTCTGGAGACCCCTTGTCTATACCAGACCCACCAGACATGGGCAGAGTGTCTAACATGACACTTTACCCTTGAATCATCCTAAATCTAATGCTGGGTACCCCTGAGCAACTCTTTAACCATTTCTGTGCCTACATTACCTGTCAGAGGCCCAGGTCCACATGCTTTCAATAAGAAAGTGCTCTTTTATGTAGATACCACTAATCAGGTTGATGGTAGGTCTCAGCTGAGGCTCTTGAATTCTTCCCAACACACACACACACACACACACACACAGTGCTGAGGTGGTAGCTCGATGGTTAGAAAGTGCTTGCCCAGCTAGCTGGAAACCCTTGGTGCTGTTCCAACACCAAGTTATCAAGGTGTGGTGTTGCATACCTGTCATTCCAGCACTTGGGAGGGAAGTGGATCAGTCCAGAGTCATCCTTAGCTACAAAGATAACCTGGGCTATATGTGACTCAAAAACAAAACAAAAAGTATTGGCAGTGATGAGTGCAGACTGTGCAGGTTTCACCTCCCACCTTGGTGGAGGCAAAGCCAGATAGCTCTTCCCAGGATCCCCTGACCATTTGCTCTGATTCCATCTAGAGGAAGACTCCGCCATCCCCATCACAGTGCCAGGCCGCCTGCCTGTGTCTTTGGCAGGCCATCCCGTTGTGGCAGCCCAGGCAGCCGCTGTGCAAGCAGCAGCTGCCCAGGCAGCTGTGGCAGCCCAGGCAGCCGCCTTGGAACAGCTCCGGGAGAAGCTGGAATCCACAGAGCCTCCAGAGAAAAAGATAGCCTTGGTTGCCGATGAGCAACAGCGCCTCATGCAGCGAGCTCTGCAGCAGAATTTCCTGGCCATGACGGCCCAGCTGCCCATGAACATCCGGATCAATAGCCAAGGTACCCTGAACTTGGCACCCTCCACAGTCCATGTAAGCAGGGCAAAATAAGTACCTTGGAGCCATTCTGTGTAAAGAGTGCTAGCAAATCAATCAGAAAAGGGTTGTTAAGAGCTAGTTTGTTCGTGTGAAAAACTGAGTCTATCTAGTTGGGAATCTGCAAGTTCCCAGGAGGTGTTAACATTCATCAGAATTTGTTTCACATGAGTCCTTGGTGGTGCCTATCTGTTAACCCAACAGGAGGCTAAATCAGGAAGACGGTGAGTTCAAGGCTAGCCTGAGCTACATCGTGATACCTGGTCATGAAAAATAAATAGTAAATGAATAAATAAAATAACCCCAACCAAAAAATTTTAAAAAGGCCTCATAAAGGAGGCAGACAGGAAGCAAGCCACTCCCCATGTGTACCTCTGACCCCAATGGCGGATCTCTTGTCCCTACAGCCTCTGAGAGTCGCCAGGACTCAGCTGTGACGCTCACCAGTGCCAATGGCAGCAACAGTATTAGCATGTCAGTGGAGATGAATGGCATCGTGTACACAGGTAAGCCCAGGGGTTCCCTTCCCACACCTCGCCATGCGACTTGGTGTAGTGCAAGGAGGTCAGAGGACACCTGTGGGAGTGAGTTTGCTCCTTGCACTGTGTCCTGGGGGTTAAACTCAGGGCATCCACCATGGCAGCCAGCGCCTTTGCCCACTGAGCCCTTTGGCTAGTTCTCGTACTGAGCTTTTGGGACAGGGTCTTACCAACACACCCTGGCTGGTCTAGAACTCTCTCTCTGTAGCCCAGGCTGGCCCCAGCCCCCGTGATCTCCTGCCTCGGCCTCCCAAGTTGCTGGGATCACAGGCCTGTGCGTCTGACAGTCACAGGAAGGCTCTGTTACAAGTCCCTCCCTTTGTCCTTGCCTCAGGGGTGCTGTTTGCTCAGCCACCACCCCCTACTCCACCCTCCGCCCCAAGCAAAGGCGCCATCGGTACCAACAACACCATGGGTAGCCGGACAGGAGCCAGCGGCGGGACCAGCAGCAGCCAGGTGGGGCTGGCTGGAGTGTCTGCGCCCCCCACATCTTCTACCTCAAATAACTCCTTGCCTTAAAGGAAATCAAGTTGTATCGCTGCCCACCCACCACGGGGACCACACAGCCACATGGGGACCTGGGACATTGGAAGAATCCCAGCGGGCTGGGCAGATTCCCAAGGAGCCACACTGACGCCAAAAAGGAGAGGGAAAAAAAAATATATATATAAATATATATATATACACATATATATATAGAGAGAGAGATAGAGAAACAGATTTAATAAATCAGGGCAGAGAACACTTGAATCTCTCAGGTTTTGGAGACTCCGAGAAATGGATTTGACAAGGGCCACCAAGGCAACCTCAGCAGAAGGAGGCCACCTTTCCAGAGGCTTCCATGGGGGTTTGGCTTGACCAGCCCAGTTCAAGCACGACTATTTACCTCATGAATCCCAGCACTGTGTGTCCTGTCTTTTTTTTTTTTTTTTTTTTTTTTGTTCCTTGATTCTTAACTGTGATTCCTTCTGGGAAAACCAACCAAGCCGGAGCCAGGATCATTGTTTTGTTTCATTCTCCTTGGAAGCTATGATTTTTTTTTTTTTTTTTCTTTTTTAAATGAGATCTCAACATTCAGATGCAAGTTTTTTTAAAGAGGTTTTGGGGTTTCGGATTTTGTAAATATTCTATTTTGGAGGGTAGGGATTGAATCTCAGGAAGTGCCCCACCTGTATATCTATATATATATTTGTGTTCATTCAGGGAAAGAAACTTTTTTTAAAGAAGCAAAAGCACCAGCCATGGTCCCCAGCCCCTGTGGTGTCCCGTGGTGCCCCTGACTCAGCACCTTGACAGGACCAGGCAATGCTGGCTCTCAGCGAATTCCACAATTCTCTGTCATGCTGGGCCCTGCCCACTGCCTCCATCATTCAGGAACCTGGATTGTTTATCCAGGACACAGAATGTTCTAGAAGCGGGTAAGGAGAGCAGCACACGGAATACAGTGGCCTTGTGTGTCTCAGGGATGAAGATCTGGACTCTGCCTGGATGATTTGCTTCTAGGGGAGACAGGTGTGCCAGGCCTAGCTCAGGGCAAGGAGTCTCATTGAGACAAAACCAGTGCCTGTTCCTGTCTTCGTTGCTTCTCTTGGCGGGAGCAGTTAAATATGACCAGGAAGGGTCCTGGTCCTTGGTCTGATGTCTTAATCCCACTGTCCAGCCAAACTGGGCAGTTCTTGGGAGGGTGAGGCAGGAGGATGAGAGTTTAAAGTTATCCTTGGCTATGTATGGAGGTTGAGGTCAGTCTGAGCTACTTGAAACCCTGTCTCAACAAAGCAAGGAAGGATGAGGCTGGGGACAGTGGATTACACCTTTAATTCTAGTGGTCTGTGAGTAAGCCAGCCTGGTCAATACAGCGAATTCCAAGCCACCTAGGGGCTACATATGAGACCCTGTCTCACAAAAGGAAAGAAAACTGCATTTCATTTTGGCCAAAGCCACCAGGGCAGAGATAACATAATCTCCCCCCAACTTGGGGAACCCTTCCTGGATTCTGCCTTGGTCACCATCCCCAAGGGGGCCAGGACAGGAACGTGAGAGCTGGGACCTGCTTGTCTCTCCCTCCCACGAGTCGCTGTCCCTCCACTTCTTGGCCTAGGCTGTGGGGAGCAGACCCCTTCGTTCCTGTCTCAGGGTTGTTAACACACCCCCTTCCCATCCTTCCAGGAGGAGGGTGTAGCCTTATTTGGAAGGAAGGGGGAAATCTCAAATTTTCCTTCTGGAAGCTTCCGCCTGCCCCTTTTCGGGGCCACTGTCTTAGCCGCACAATCATTCCTGGTCACGGGTTGAGGGGGTCTTTGTCCCCTTCTGACAACTCTGTGCAGTCGACCTCTGTGGGTACCTGGCCTGGGGAGATGGGGGCCAGCCTCCTGTGTGAGGTCTGATCGAAGGGGTAGTCTTGGTGGGCACATCCAAGGCGTGTTTCTTTCTACCTCAGGTCTTTTGATGCCAAAAAGAAAAAAAAAAAATGCACCCAGGTCACCCATTTTCCTGGTCACCTGTTCTGGTGTACAGTGGGGATGGGGTATCCTGGTGTTCACTTGTGTCTGGGCCTCTGAGTGGCCAGAAAGCACCCAATACTAACTCAGGGGGCCTTCCCACCAGGGCTCTGCTTGTAGGGTATACACACTTGGTGACCCTCCATGGTCCTGTCACCCAGCCCTTGCATTGAGTGCAGTTAACATTCATTCTGTAAGCTGTTGTGGGGGTGGGGTTGGACACAGTTATTGTCCACACTGGGACCTCAGGGTTGTGGGTTGGGGCAAGTTAGACCCCCAAACTCAGGGCAAAGAGGGTATAAGGGCAGGCACAGGCTGCTTCTAGAACCTTACCAGGGACAGGCTATTTCTGCAATCTTCCTGGTGGCTCTTCTGCTGGCCATCAGGCTCTATTGTCTGTCTGTCTGTCCAGCTGCATTGGGTGGGTGGGCATGGGGCTTGGGAACAGATAAGTTAGTGTTTTCTGAGAGTTATCCATTGTATAGTCTTATGGAATTTTTCCTTTTTTTTTTTTTTTTTTTTTTTTTTTTGTCATTTTTACACACTTCATTTTTTTCCCCCCAACCCTACATAATTTTGGCTTTTGTGGATTTTATTTTTCCTTCTGGGTAAAGGTGAGCTGAGTTGTTTCATTCAGAACATGTGAACTTTTTAGTTTCTTGGGTGGGAGGGGTTTGTTAGACAGTGTGGGGTTGAACACCAACTCAGGTAAAATGGATTTTAAAAAATAAAAAAAAGTAAAAAAAAACTTTCTACCTCCGGTCAGTTCCCGCTGGGCTGTGGCCTGTGGCCTGCTGTGGTCACAGCTGTGCCTGTGCGGAATATTCAGGAAAGTTCAGCTGTTAACAGGAAAACTCAAACACAACAACACAAAAATGTGATTTTTTTTTTTTAAACTTAAAAAAAAAAACTAACACTGAAAGTTTACATTTTATGACCTTATTGTGGATTGTATTTAAACCTCAGAAATATTTAACGCAATTGTAACCCTGTAAATCGGTGAGATTAAAGAGTGGAGAAGGTCTGTGAAAGATTGGCTTCTGGTACTTTTGAGGTTTTGGTTTTGGGGGGAAGGGCTGGTAGCGGTGGAGGGCATCCTGGGTGTGTGGAGGGGACCCAGGGACGTGAGGGTCCCTGGAGACCGGAGGGACTCAGGCATGGAGTGTGGAGGAGGGTCCGCTCCAGGCAGTTTCTTTTTCCTCCTTTTGCTTCAGGTCTGTCTGTCGTGTGTGCAAGGCTGCCCAGAATGGAGGGCTAAGGCCAAATTTTAGAAGTTGGTTCTCTTCCACAGTGTGTGTCCTGCTAACTGAACTCAGGACAGCAGGTTGGGAGATGAGTGTCCCTGCATGCTAAGCCATCTCCCTGGCTGTTGTTTCTTTTTTTGCTTCAGAAAAAAGAAAAGAAAAAAGCCAGTCAGTGGTAGCACATGCTTAGCCCCAACACTGGGGAGGCAAAGGCAGGAGAAGGATCTCTGTAAGTTGGAGGCCAGCCTGGGCTACACAAATAAATCCTGTCTCAAACCCCCATACTTTAAAAAATTTACATTTTCACAATTTCATACAATATATGTTGACCATATTCTTTTTGAGACAAAGTCTCACTACACAGTCCTGGCTGGCTTAGAACTCAAGGCACAGGGACCAATGAGCGACTGCCTCCCAGGTGTGAACAGCAGGCTTGGCCTGTTTCAGAACCTTTGCACAGGCCCTGCCTGCTTTTCCCATCTGCTTCCCATCTGGGAAACATTCCCTCTGTCCCTACCCTTAGCACCTTGGAACACCATCATCCCACCTCTGTCCCTTGGGCTCCAGCAGCCAGGTGGAGGCCTCCTCTGAAGGCAGCTAACTCCCCAGGGCTCCCCACACCTAGCTCTGTGTCCTGCCCACCTGTCACCCCAGGGGCCTCAGCTCCTAGCAGCTCCTCCAGACAGAAACAGTCTCCTCCCCTGAGCTCAAGTCTACTCCTGCCTCTGCCTCTAGAGAATTGGGATCAAAGGCGTATGCCATGTGCCCACCTTTCCCAGCTTGACTGGATGGGTCTTGAGAGACAGTGACAGTTTAAGCATTTGAGGGAAGAAAGGATCCCTGATTGTCAGCTCCATACATACCCAGGAGACTCAGGAGACTGAAGGACTCAAAGTAGATAAAGCCAGGTGGACAGGCCCAGACCTTGGCTACTCTCTCCTGCCTGCTCTGGCCAAGTCTGGCTCAGGCTGGTCCCTCCCCAAGTTACTGACAGAATTGAGGAAAACAACAAACAGCTGGTTGACTCCTCCTGGCCCCTGAAACCTGCATTTTACATTCTGCTCCCAAGGAGGGAAGTCACCCACTTGCCCCTGACACTCTGCCTGGGGGACAAGTACCAGCAACTTTTTTTTTTTTTTTTTTTTTTTTTTTTTTTTCAAAGGTGTCTTTCAGGCAAACTGGCTTGGCTGGACCTATTTATTTTCACTCCTTGGCTGAAGACTATTAGAGAGGGAACTGAGCAGCCCTGAGGCTGCACAGCCCTAAGCAGCTTTTCAAGAGCCTGTACAGCAAGGTTCCACCCAGGGACCCTCAAAATTGTTCTCATTGGTGGAACAGGGGGTCAGTAGGACCTGCTTCCTTTTGGGGGTCCACTGTCAAGCCCTTCTTCCTGAGGAGTTCCCAGATGGTGTGCTGGTTTGTGGATTTGGGTGGGCACGACAGAATGTTGCAATGGGGGGTAGGGTAAGGGTGCCTGTGCCTCAGTTTCCTCTAATCTGGCTTCCCTGTACCATGTTGTACCCTCCATTTTCTCACAGGTCTAGCCAACTGGGTGGTCCTGGGTGCCCAAGTGTGGCTTTTGTCCTCAGAGCTGACACAACTGGACTGTCCTCATTCCAGGGGCTGCTGGGGGCGGGCTGACCTCTAACCTCACAGGGAAAGAGAGTAGCCAGGCCTCAGGGGCTTGGCTGCTCCAAGGGAGGCCTGCCTCAGCTGCTGGCCAGGAGGCTCTGCCCCTGCCCAGAGTCCTAGATGAAGATGGAGGAAACTGCTAGGCCTGACCTACCCAGATAAGACGGACCTGGGGCCTAGGGCACAGTCCCCATGGGTCTTCCTAGCAAGCCCCTTAGGAAGCAGGAACACAAAGGCCTGGATTTGTACAAGGGCCCCAGCCACTGCTCACAGTTGACATATTCAAGCCCCAAGTTGGCCCTTGGCACCCCACCCCACCCCTGCTCAGAACAGGCCTTCAAGATTACCCCCTGTATCTTTCTTTTTGAATTTCTTTTCTTTTTTAAATTTGACACAGAAACCAGGTGGTGGTGGTGGTGGTGAACGCCTTTAATCCCATAATCCCAGCACTCAAGATGCAGAGACAGGTGGATCTCTGTGAGTTTGAGGACAGCCTGCAAAGCTACAAAGAAACCCTATGTTGAAAAGCAAACAAAAACGAGACCAAAAAAAAAAAAAAAAACTTTTTTTCTTTTTTGACACAGTCTCATGTAATCTAGGCTGGCCCCAAGCTCAACAAGTAGGCCAGGCTTACCTCAAACTCCTGATCCCATGGGTTTGGGACAATACCCACATCACCAGGCCTTTTTTCTGTGGTGCTAGCTATGGAGCTCAGGACTTCATACATGCTAGGCCACCCTCTACCAGCTGCTCCCAACCCTGTTTCTCTTTTTGTGAGCCCATGTCCTGTGTTTCTTCTTCTTATTTTTAACTATATATGCATGTATCTGTGTGGGCATATGTTCACTTGCATGCAGGTGCCTTTAAGTGCCAAAGTTGTCAGATCCCCTGGAGCTGGAGTGAGTTAGTGGTAACTGCAAGCCACTCTGCTGTAGATGCTAGGAACTGAACCTGAATCCTCTGCAAGAGTAGTAAGGGCTATTACCCACCAAGTCATCTCCACAGCCTCCCATTTCTCTCTTTCTTTTTGTTTTTTGTTTTTGTTTTTTTTTTTGAAACAGGGTTTCTCTGTAGCTTTGCAGCCTGTCCTGGACCTCACTCTGTAGACCAGGCTGGCCTCGAACTCAGAGATCCACCTGCCTCTGCCTCCTGAGTGCTGGGATTAAAAGCATGTGCCACCATTGCTGGGCCTTATTTCTCTTCTTATTCACACTTTAGCATTAAAAGATCTGTGACCTAAGTCTCAGGAAGTTGAGGCAGGAAGGAGAATCTGGAGTTTAAGGACAATTTGAGCTACACACAAGCTGTGTCCTTCAGTCCTTTTAACCGAAGCTCTACATCCTCCACTCTGCCCCAGGATCTTTGTCCGTGCACCTGGACAGCAATGTGTTCCTCTGAGTTTCTTGCTTGAAGTGGGTGGTGGCTTCTCTTGAGATGTAGACTGCCCCTGGTGGATCTCCGTGTCCTCCAGCTTGCGCCTGCCATCTGGTGGCCACATTGAGTGGCACTCTCCACTCCAACTGTCTCCTCCGTTCCTGGTTCCCAAGTTGACACCAAACATGCACCTCCCTCTCCTCATAGACCCAATAGTTGCTCAGAACCTCACCCCCTCATCCAGCCCTGCTGCTCCAGCTGGTGCAGAACTCCGGGCGGCCACATCCTCAGCTGCAAGATTCAACACTTGCATTAATTCTCCTTTAACAGCACATTAGGGAAAACAAAAGCATTAAAAAAAAAATCCTTCGTTTTAGACCTGGCCTATGGCCAGCAGGCTGTGACCTGAGACTAAATAAAGGATGTTGGACTAGAGATTGACTTGTTGGGTTTACATCGAGCGAACCAAATACAAATTTGAAATTTATGACTCCAAAGAGGAAAGGTCAAAGAGGAGGCAAACCGATAAAGGACGTGGGTCAATCAGTAAGCCGTTAATCACCAAGAGCAACGCCCTGACCAGAGATGTTATTTTTGGTTGTATGCAGCCTGAACTTACATGTAGTAACTAATTTCTTTGGATCTAAATAAAAGTATAATGGCATAAACAAAGCTTGTCATCTCAGCACGCAGGAAAGTGAGGCAGGACTGAC